GTATATGCCATGTGTGTCTTTTTGCTTCTGGGATACCTCATTCAGGACGATCTTTTCTAGTTCCCACGATTTGCCTGCAAATTTCATGATTTCCTTGTTTTTAGTTTCTGTGTGATATTCCATTCTGTAAATATACCATAATTTCTGTATTCATTCCTCAGTTGAGGGACATCTGGGTTGTTTCCAGGTTCTGGCTATTATGAATAAAGCTGCTATGAACATGGTTGAGCATATGTCCTTGTTGTGTTCTTGAGCATATTTTGGATAAATGTCTAGGAGTGGTATAGCTGGATCTTGAGGTAGCACTATTTCTAATTGTCTGAGAAAGTGCTAGATCAAGTTCCAAAGTGGTTCTACAAGTTTCCATTCACACTAGCAATGGAGGAGGGTTCCCCTTTCTCCACATCCTCTCTAGCATGAATTGTCACTTGAGTTTTTGATCATAGCCATTCTGATGGATGTAAGGTGAAATATCAGGGTCATTTTGATTTGTATTTCCCTGATGACTAAGGGCGATGAACATTTCTTTAAGTGTTCTCTGCCATTTGATATTCCTCTACAGAGTATTCTCTGTTTATTTCTGTAACACATTTTTAATTGGATTACTTGATTTTTTTTTACTTTTTTAACTTCCTGAGATTTTTTTTTTTTATTCTGGATATTAGCTGTATGTCAGATACAGGGTTTTTGAAAATCCTTTCCCGATCTGTAGGCTGTCATTTTGTTCTGATGATAGTTTCCTTTGCTTTACAGAAGCTTTTCAGTTTCATGAGGTCCCATTTATTGATTGTTGCTCTTAGAGCCTGTGCTGTCAGTGTTCTGCTCAAGAAGTTCTCTCCTGTGCCAATGAGTTCAAGGCTCTTTCCCACTTTTTCTTTTAACAGATTTAGTGTGTCTGGTTTTATGTTAAGGTCTTTGATCCACTTGAACTTTAGTTTTGTGCAGGGTGATAAATATGGATCTATTTTCATTTTTCTGCATGTAGACATCCAGTTAGACCAGCACCATTTGTTGAAGATGCTGTCTTTTTTCCATTGTATGGGTTTGGCTTCTTTGTCAAAAATCAGGTGTGCATAAATTAGTGGGTTTATTTTGGGGTCTTTTATTTGATTCCATTGATTGACTATTCTGTTTCTATGCCAATAGCATGCAGTTTTTATTACTATTGCTTTGTAGTACAGCTTGAGATCAGGGATGGAGATACCTCCAGAGGGTCTGTAGTTATACAGGATTGTTTGAGCAATTCTGGGTTTGTTTGTTGTTTCCATATGAGTTGAGAATTGTTCTTTCACAGTCTGTAAAGAATTGTGTTGGTGTTTTGATAAAAATTACATTGAATCTGTAGATTGCTATTGGTAAGAAGGCCATTTTCCCTATGTTTATCCTCCTGATCCATGAGCATGGAGATTTTCCTTCTTGTGATATCTTCTACAATTTCTTTCTTCAGAGACTTGAAGTTTTGTTTTTTTTTTTCAAACTGATCTTTTACTTGCTTGGTTAGAGTCACACCAAGGTACCATATGTTATTTGTGGCTATTGTGAAGGGTGTGGGTTACCTAATTTCTTTCTCAGTCCTTTTGTCTTTCGTATACAGGAGTGCTACTGATATGTTTTTGAGTTAATTTTGTATCCAGCCACTTTGCTGAAGGTGTTTATCTGGTTGAATTTTTGGGCTCGCTCTTGTATACTATCATATCATCTGCAAATAGTGATACTTTGATTTCTGCCTTTCTGATTTCTAGCGACTTGATCTCCTTTAATTGTCTTATTGCTATAGCTAGTACTTCAAGTACTATGTTGGAGCGATATGGAGAGAATGGGCAGCCTTGTCTTGTCACTGATTTCAGTGGGATTGGTTTAAGTTTCTCTCCGTTTAGTTTGATGTTGACTATGGGCTTGCATATATTGATTTTACTATGTTTAGGTATATGCCTTGTATCCCTCATCTCTCCAAAACTTTAAACATGAAAAATTGTTGCATTTTGTCAAATGCTTTTTTCAGTATCTAAAGAGATGATTGTGTTTTTTTTTTCTTTCAGTTTGTTTGTGTCCTGTTTATGTTTGTTTACATTGATGGAAAGGATGTGGAGAAATGGAAAACCTCCTCCATTGCTGGTGACGATGTAAACTTGTACAACCACTTTGGAAATTAATCTGGAACTTTCTAAGAAAACTGGTAATAGTGCTACTTCAAGACTCAGCTATACCACTATTGGGCATGTACCTGAAAGATGCTCAACTATTCAAGCACATTTACTTATGTGTGTTCATAGCTGCTTTATTCATAATAATCAGTATCTGGAAACAATCTGATGTCCCTAAACCAAAGAAATGGATACAGAATTTGTTGTAAATTTATATAATGGAATACTACTCAGCTATTAAATCTAAGGAAATCATGACATTTGAAGGCAAAAGTGAGAACTAGAAAAGATCATCCTAAATGAGGTAGCCCAGAAGTAGAAAGACACACATGGTATATACTGACTTATAAGTGGATATTAGCCATATAACATAGGATAAACATACTAAAATCTACAGACCTAAAGAAGATAAACAACAATTATGCTTAATTTTCTCATTCAGAAGGAAAAACAAGATAGACAGCAGAAGTGGTAGAAGAGAGGGAACAGGACAGGAGCCTACACAGATGTCCTCTAAAAGACCCTTCAGGGGATCAAAGCAGATGTTGAGACTCACAGCCAAACTTTGGACAGAGTGCAGGAAGTTTCTTGGAAGAAGGAGTATATAAAAGTACCCAGAGAGGACAGAAGTCTCACAAGGAGACCAACAAAGCTTAAAAATATCTGGGTGCGGGGAGCCAAAACTATCTACTGAAGCCAAAGTCAAACAGTAAGCCAAAGCTTTCTAGTGGAGACAAAGCTATTTACTGAAGCCAAAGCCAAGTAGTGAGCAAAGGTCATTTAGTGGAGACCTAAAGCTATTTAGTGAAAGAGTTACCTAAGACCCTAAACCATGGGTGATAGATTTGTGAGGACATCCATCTGTTAGTTTTAGAGCATCCTTGAGATAGCTTAAGAAAACATCCTTGCGGTATCTTGCAGGTGCAATATTTAACCCATGAAAGCACTCTTCCTATCTCCTGCAGCAGTAAATTAACCTTCCCCTCTTTCCTGCCTTCTCCCTATATAAGTTGGGTAAAAATTTTTAATAAACAAGGCTTTGATCAGATGAACAGACTTGGCCTTCATTTCTTGTACTTCTCATCCCCCTCCCCATTCCTTCCATTCTCCTATAGAAACCCCTTTGAAGCCCCGCGGGTTCGGGGCGCCTGGGACCATGGAGGACTACAGAGACTGCTGCATCAACCAAAGGCCATTCATAGAGAAGACCTAGGCCCCGTGCTCAGATGTGGCACATAGAAAGCTCAGTCTCCATGTGGGTCCCTAGTAAGGGCAGAAGAGACAGTCTCTGACATGAACTTGGTTATCTGCTCCTTGATCACTTTTCCCTTCTGGGGTAACCTAGCCATCCCACAGAGGAAGAGGATCCAGGTAGTCTTCATGGGACCAGGACTTCTCCTATTAGTAGACTAATGAAAAGGGATAGGGGAAGAGGAGGATGGAAGGGTGGAACAGGGAGGAGATGAGAGAGGGATACAAAGAGATACAAAGAGAATAAATTGTAATAATAACAACAATAATGAAAATGAAAATACAATGAAAAAAGGACCCAAAATGTGTCTGGAACAGTGAAACCTAATCACTTGTCAGTAGGCACTGCACCTCCTGACTTCAAAATATGAAGCAGTAGTTAACAAAACACACAATATTTGTAAGAAACAGACCCATAGATCACCAGAATCATAGATACTCTGTGATAAGTCCACACATCTACAAAGACAAAATTTTCAGTAAAGGTGCTGAGGTCACACACACAAAAACACTGGGAAAGAACCATGTTTTCTGGAAATACTGTGAAGTAAGTTGAATAACCCGCAAAAACCATCATCAATAGCAGTAAAGAGTCCATCTTCAGAAAAGAAGAAAACATCTGACAAGGGTTTGATATTTGAAGACATATAGTAACTTACAAAAAAATAAACTACTTGATTTTACAAATAATAAACCTAAATATACATCTATCAAGGAAGGCATACAAAGTGTCTAAGAGTATACAAGAAAATAAATCCTAACATCACTAGTCATCAGGGAAATGCACATCAAAGCTACCAGAAAACAGCAGCTTATTCCATGGACTACTAGGTTTTAAATATATACAGCATAAGCCAGAGGTTTATCTTTTTCTTCTTTTTTTTGGTTCTCAGTTTTTTATTATTATTAATTACACTTTATTCACTTTGTATACCCCCATAAGCCCCACCCTTCTCCCCTCCCTATCCCACCCTCCCTCCCCCTTCTTCATGCATGCCCCTCCCCAAGTCCACTGATAGGGGAGGTCCTCCTCTCCTTCCCTCTGAGCTTAGTCTATCAGATCACATCAGGAGTGGCTGCATTGTCATCTTCTGTGTCCTGGTAAGGCTGCTCCCCCCTCAGGGGGAGGTGATCAAAGAGCAGGCCAATCAGATTATGTCAGAAGCCAGAGGTTTTTCAACACAGGGTTTGTCTGTTTAACTCCAGGTGACCTGGAAACTAGGCTCTCCAAATTAGGCTGGCCTTGAACTCACAGAGATCTGCCTGCTTCTGCCTCCTGAGTGCTGGGATTAAGGAACACTACCTGGCTTGTGCTGTATATTTTTAAAACCTAGTAGAATTTATTTGAAAAGCTTTAGATACAAATAATATATTCTGAGTAAAAAGATATTTTAAACCTGTTAACAAAATACATGTGGCACTCCAGAAACATCTATAATTTTAATATATCAGTTAAAATAAGTCTACTTTTAATTTCAAAACATAAATACATTAATACTAATAAAATCTCACTTGAAGTTACTGTTCCTGGAATAGGAAAAAGCATGATTTAATTCAGAATTAATATCATAGCAAATATCTAGTGACAGAAAAAAGATTGCATACTTTCAATTATGTCTGTCTGGTGGTGGTGGCTCATTAAGTTCTCCGTCTCTGTTGGTGTGGGTAACAGTGTTGATAGTAGGCTAGGCATCTACGGTTCAGGCACGTTCTCTGACCTAGTGATAGAATGACACTGTTACAGGAATAAAACAAAGACTGACCAAACACTCCCCCTCGTGGCCACACATTGTAAGAGACTGCAGTATTAGAACTTATACAGTCTCTTGAGCAATTGACCAAAATAGTAGAACTTGCCTATTGTTTTCACTTTAAAGTCATAAGAGCAATACATTATGATCTATCTCCATGAAGATCATATTCTCTATATTACAAACTTATCATCTTCTCCACAAGCACTAGATTCACACATGTAGATATTTAATTAACACATGCCCTCGGGTATAAAATAGGCATTTAAAACTTACAGAGTTCAGACAGAATTCTATTTTTGTTTGTTTGTTTGATGTTTTAGTTTTTTGAGACAGGGTTTCTCTGTGTAGCCTTGTCTGTCTTGGACTCACTGTGTACAGCAGGCTGTCCTTGAATTCATAGAGATCCACCTGCCTCGACCTCCCTGAGAACTGGGAACACAGGCACGTTCCATTGCACCCAGCTTCAAACAAAACTCTTAACCTTCCCTTCAACCCTTGTTCTTGCTCTATTCTCCCACATTATTTATACAAGTTTTCTTACCATGAGTAAGGTAAGTCTTTCCTCTTCTTCTCCACACCTGTCACTCAGGAATTCTTCCTGTTCTAAACATCACCTTAATCCCTCCTCCCTTTTCTGCCTCTTTCCAAATAGTTATCATCTTTCATCTAGACTAGTGTAGCAGTCTCTTCAAAATGTTCTTTAGTTCTTGTCTTCTAAGGCAGCTCTTCCACATCCCAGTGAGACAGCCCTATAGATTATAGATCAGATTTCCAAGGTTCTTTGGCATGTTCATATCCTTGGATTGAAACGGTGCAGCACAAAAACCTCACAGGGTTATTTATTTATTTATTTATTTATTTATTTATTTATTTATTTATTTATCTATCTATCTATCTATCTATCTATCTATCTATCTATCTATTTATTTACATACTTTCTTACTTTGATATATAATGACCCTAAAAGAAATCACATGCTACCAATTATGTCTATAGTTCATTCTGTCACTGCCTAGTATTTTTCTATTTCCATTTATTTCCCATCATGCAGTGCTATCCACCAGGGTAGCTGAATAAATGGATGAGTAATTTATTGTAATAATCCTTTAAAATAAGATCTCCCTTTCAAATTATGCCTCAGTTGAATCTACCTCAGGCATTTTTTTTTGTTGTTGTTGTTGTTGTTTGTTTTGTCATTCAGGTACTCCCTCCATTTACTGCCCTGGGCTCTGTGCTGTCTCCTGTGAAAATCTGTTCCCAGTAAGAGTCTTCATCTTGGGCTGGAGAAATGGCTCAGCAGTTCAGAGCATTTGCAGCTTGTTCAGAGGAGCCTGCTTCAGTTCCCTGCACCCACATGGAGCCTTTATCTGCCTGTAACTCGAGTTTTAACACCCTCTCTCGCCTCCACAGGCAACAGGCACACATGTAGGGTACAGACACATACAAGCAGAACATACATACATATAAAATAAAAATAAATACTTTTCTTTGAAAAAATATTATACTCATTACAATAAACAAAATGCTTGCCAGTGCTCTACTTTTATAACCATGTGATGTCAGAAGCTGTCCAGCATTTGGAAACGTGTTTTCCTTCACTACTCTCTTCATGATGGATATTTCCAGATGCCTTAGACATTTTAAAAAATAGTATTTCCAACTATCTCCATTGTACCTATTGTTTCTCTTATGTCATTATCCTATACCTTACCTTTTCTTTTGGAAAAACTGCAAAGAACAGTACATGAAAAGAAAAACAAAATGATGAATACAATTGCAGTTATCATCCATTTTGAAAAATGATTCATGGTATCTGAAAAACACAAATCAGAAATATTATTTCTCTAGTTACACTGCACTACAATCTTAAGGCCTTTGATTTATAAAAATAAAGAAATAACTAAAATAATTAAATAACTAACTAAATATTTTTTTTTTACTTTCTACAATTTAATTGATATTCAAATTTACTGTATAAGATGCTTTCACATTACCATGGAATGAAAAGTAAGATCCTAGAAAGCAGTTTCTTCTTTCCTTGTATATAATTAGGAAAGTGTATGCTTTTAGCAAACAACTCTGGTCTTATATTTGACTGCACAGATGCAGTTCTATCTAGTTTTTACTAATCCTTATCAATAAGATGTTAAATAATCATTTTAGATAGATGAAGGGGATTGAACATAGAGAATTTTACATTGAAATATAAACTCTTTTCTGAAGGCAATTTCAACAAAGCAGAAAAACTACACACGGAATTTCACCAGAATCAGGAATTGTCATCCATTATATTTACATATGACCTAGGAAGGCATAACATTCCTCTGAACTGAGAAATTTCTTATTATCAACACCTGCATTTTAATAAATAATTAACATTAATGCTAATAACATAGACAATGTATTTACAACTGTATTTGTGATATTTAATTCATATAAACAAATTTTATGAGTTGGAAAAATTGATCAGGAAAAGGAGCTGGACATTTTCAGTTTCAAGAAATAAACATAACAAATGTTTATTCCTAGTGTTTCTTGAGAAGCCTTAAAAACAGCATTAATATAAAAATGGTTTAATGAAAAACAGAAAAATAGTGACATGACTTTTCAGTGAAAAGAGCTTGTGAAGTAACAGATTTAGAAAACATGTAACAAAATAGAAGAATGAGCTCCTAATGTGAAGGATGAAGACAGTTAGTGAAAGAGAAAATAACCGAAGATGGCCAAGATATTATCTGCAGACACAGTTGAAAAGACAAAACTTTCATAAAATAGTTAAGGAAGAAAAGTCTTTGACAGAACAAGCAATTTTAGCCCATCTACAGCCAAGCTTGGGTGGAACAGGGGCTCAGCATTCCCCACCATTCAAAGCTAGGAATATATTCATGGAAAGTGGGAATCCTTGCCTTCTGTTGTGTCTCCATCCAGTGGTGACACTAGTCTCCAGTGGATATTGCCACTGAATGCCCTTAAAATAAGCGGGTCACAAGGTAAGACCAAAAGTCATGAGGCTAGGATAGTGAGTAATGAAGAGAAGAGGTGTGAAATAAGATGTTAGGAGCAGGAGGGACATAAGAATGGAGGAGACACAGAGGAGGACAATGGAACCAGTTCTGATGAGCCTGAATAAACTAAAGTCAGATGGACGGGGAGGAGGACCTCTCCTATCAATGGACATGGAGAGGGGAATAAGAGAAGATAAGGGAGTGAAAGTGGGTTTTCGAGGGGAGGAGGGAGAAAGCTACAGCTGGGATACAAAGTGAATAAACTGTAATTAATATAAAAAATAAAAAATTAATTAAAAAAGAATGGAGGAGATAATTATCAGAATATATTATATGTGTGTGAAATTGCCAAAGATAATTTTAAAATAAAAACTTGTTTCTAAAAAGAAGGAAAAAGCCACAAAAGACCTTGAAGAAAATATCTATACAGCCTCCCAGGTAATATGAAGAAAATAAAAAGTCATGGACATTAAAATGAAGTAAAAGCCTAGCCCAGATGGTATAATGTTACTTTTAATGAGAGATTTATAAGCTGAATCAGTTGAAATAATAGGAGGAATTTCTCCATGAAATGAGAAAACATTCAGAATTTCCTGGGCTAATGTAACCAAATTATGGGAAAGTTACACATTTCTTATTTACCCTCTGAGGTTATAAAATCTAGATGTCAATAATTATATCCTACTGCTGAAACAATGAAGAGCAGGGGTCCTTAACAAATTATATCATTGCACCTTTTCATCTCATTTTCGCTACAGAAATCTCATGAACACTGCCAATATACCAGGAGTAGGAACAAGACTGATAGCCAGAGGTTTTCTGCACACTCTGTCACCAAGTGAGGGCCTGGAAAAGTCGTTAGCTTGTACTGCTGTTCACAGGAAAAGAAAAATGCACAGAACATTTTTTTAATTTTGATTGTAAATATTTTTAAATTTTTGTTATTAGTTACATTTTATTAACTCTGTATCCCAGCTGTATCCCGCTCCCTCATTCCCTCCTAATCCCATCCTCCTTCCCTCATCTCCTCCCTGCCCCTTTCCAAGTCGACTGATTGAGGAGGACCTCCTCCCCTTTCATCTGACACTGTTTTAGCAGGTGTCTTCAGGATTGGCTGCAAAGTCCTCCTATGTGGCCTAGCAAGACTGCTCCTCCTTTAGGGGGTGGGGAGGTCAAAGAGCCTACCATTGAGTTCTTGTCAGAAATAGTCCCTGTTCCCCTTACTAGGGTTAAACCAGTTGATTACTGAGCTACCACAGGCTACATCCGAGCAGAGGTTCTAGGTTATATCCATACATGGTCCTTGGTGGAGTGTCAGTCTCAGAAAAGACCCCTGTGCCCAGATATATTTGGTCCTTGTGGAGCTCCTATTTTTCCATGGCATACTAACTCCCCCTTCTTTCATATGATTTCCTGCACTCTGCCAAAGGTTTGGTTATGAGTCTTAGTATGTGCTTTGATACACTGCTAGGTAGAGTCTTTCAGAGGCCCTCTGCGGTAGGCTCCTGTCCTGTTACTTGTTTTCTCATACATCCACTGCACATCCCATTTGTCTTTCTAGGTGAGGGTTGATCATCTTACCCCGTGTCTGCTTTCTTGCTTATCTTCTTTAGGTGTATAGATTTCATTATGTTTATCATATCTTATAGGTCTACATAAGTGAATATATACCATGTTTGTCTTTCTCCTTCTGGGATACCTCACTCAGAATGATCTTTTCTAGATCCCATCATTTGCCTGCAAATTTCATGATTTCCTTGTTTATTGCTGAGTAGTATTCCATTATGTAAAATGCCACAATTTCTTATCCATTCCTCCATTGATGGACATATGGGTTGTTTCCAGGTTCTGGCTATGACAAACAAAGCTGCTACAAACATGGTTGAGCAAATGTCCTTGTTGTGTACTTGAGCAAATTTTGGATATATACCTAGCAGTGGTATAGCTGGGTCTTGAGGAAACACTATTCCTAATTGTCTGAGAAAGTGCCAGATTGACATCCCAAGTGGTCGTACCAGTTTACATTCCCACCAACAATGGAGGAGGGTTCCCCTTTCT